TTTGCTTACTTTTTCCGTTTGTTTTTGACAAGAAATATATTGTCATCCTTATCTTTGTTACTCTGTAAATCTAACATCTTTATTCTGGCTGCTTTTATGATTGTCTTTTTATCATCAGTCTTTTTTAACTTTGTTACTTAAATTAACCCATTTATTGTAGCAATGCGTCAAATTGTGGAGCTTCTGCTGGACTTTCAGTTCCTTCAGCCTTCTGATGGCAGACTTCACTGTGGCAGCAGAAGGGACTGTTTCCATGCAGGAGTCACCAAGCCAGACCCCCACAGCTCGCCTCTTCATCTTGGTTTTGCCACAGAAGGCGCAAGTGTACTTGGCATGCTGGCTGATCTAACTTTTCACCATTTTCCTGAGGGAGGCGACATATGGGTGCCCTACTGACTAACAATTCCAACCTTCTTGGTGAGTTTAGCCATGTTGCTGCAAACTAGGTTGGAACCCAAGACCTAAGCAGACCCAAGTTTTTATAACCAGTTTTGAAAAAATTGACTGTGATGTGCCTTATTGAAGTTTGCTTAATATTTCTTGTGCTTAGATGAGGTTTGCTGAGATTCTTATATTTGGATATTATTGAGGTTTTTCACATTCGAAAGATTTTGACTTATTTCTCTTAATTTTTTTTTTGTCCCAGAGGTCACTTGGTGATGTTTATTTTTTAAATGTATGTCTATATTTCCCTTTAATATATTGCTGTGACTTAAAAGACATTACATTTTATCTTGTATTTTCTAGTCTGTCTTTAATCCCACTCAGTGTAGTTTTCATCTTAGGCCTTGTAGTTTCCTTCACTTGAAATAAGATTTGGTCTCTTTATATCTTCCTTTGCTCTACATCATTTCTGAACATATATAATATAGTCCTAATAGCTGTTTTAATGGTCTTCTCTACTATTGTGTCTGTTCTGCATTCATTTTGATTGGTTTATTTCTGTTTTTTTGTTTGTTTGATTGTTTTGGTTTGGTTTGGTTTGGTTTTAGTTATGGTTCTCTAGTCCTTTATATGCTTGTACCATAGGCCAAAGACCTCAAAGATCCCTGCCTCCATTATTCACTTCCTCATATGGCCCCAGGCCCTGAGTGTGTGCTGGCCTAATGCCTTGCTTTTAACAAACCAAAAACAGCTAAGCGATAGAATGTCACTTCTCTGGTTAAGATACAAGAGATTGTAATGTCTGTCTTGCTAGCAAACGCTCTTTACTGCCTTCTTCACTTCCATGTTTTGAAGAATCAAGTCCCAATGTTGCAGCCACCTACGCAGCAAAAAAAGTGGTAGCAGATTCTACCCAACAGACTGAGGCCAACAATTCAACAGTTGCCTGCAATCTATTGTTCTGAATCCTGCTAATAATCATGTGAACTTGGAACTTTTCACATGATCTGTTCCCTGGTTGTGCTTTAAGATAACTGGGCCTAGCAGACAGCTTCTTAGCTTATGAGAGAACCTGAAGGGGAGCCCCTAACTGCACCATGACTGGATCGCTGGCGTATAGGAATAGTTCTGCATGGGAGACATTGTGAAATTTACATTTGTTGATGTATTCCTATGAATATTCTTCAGCTTTGTTTCTGAACAAAGATGCTATCACATTTCTTACAAAAAGCTTGATCCTTTTGGGTTTTGCTTTTACGATTTTTTTAGGTAGGATCAGGACAGTGCTCAGTCTAGGACTATATTGTCTCCAGTAATGAACCAGTTTTAACATTGCACCAAATGAACCATTAAATTTTGCAGTCTGGCTGGTGGTAATAAGAAGTAATACGAGCACTGTGTGACCACCTCCTGGATAGTTCTCTCTCCGACCTCAAGGATTGTCATCATATGTATAAGTACACTAGTACTCAGCTGCACACTGGAGGGTAACTCTCAACTATTAGATGAAGGCTGCACCCACATCATACCTTAGGTGCACAGACTTGAAATTATGCTGCATGGAGTCTCCCAAAGGACCTCGGAGGGACTGAACCACAGCTACCACAGGGAATACCCACTAATTATGGGCTTTATATCTTGCCCTCTCTTAGTTCAAACTACCAGCATGTCATGAAATTTGCACTCACATCATGTCCACTGTCTTTTTATAAGATGTTGCAACCTAAGACAAACGCTTATGTTACTATTATGTTTAGTTTTATCTCCAGAAATGATCATTGTTTCACCGATTATTTTATGTTTAAATTTGTCACATGCAAATTATTTTATTTGTTCACCATTTTTTTTATAACTAAGACCTTTCTTTTAGCATCTATTTCCTTTCCTTTTTTCCAATACAGTCCATTCCTCAGATATTTCTTCAGGTGATTCTGTTTCTACTCAGCTCTCTCAGTTTTTTAGACTGTTTTCCTGATATACAGTTTAGTTGATTATGCAATTATTCATTAAATTCTCTCAGGTTTTAAAATTTTATTATACCCTTTGGTGGCCAACTTTCCTGTTAATAATTTAGTGGTCAGTCTAGTTGTTATTCCTTTGTATACTGTCTGTCTTCTCTTTCTAAGCTTATAATATTTTCTCTGTCTCTTTGGTATCTTTCAATTTTACAATAATATTTTTAGGTGGAAATTTCTTCCTTCCTTAGTTATTAAAATTCTTGGTTGGGAAATATTGGGCTTCCTGAATCTGGGAGTAGATGCCTGCTGCTAATTCTGGAAAATCTTCAATGCTGTCTCTTAGAATATTGCCTCTTCTTATGCTTCTTCTATCTTTCTGAAACTTCACTTATAAAATGTAAATCTCAGTTTTTCATATTTTCATATTATTTCATATTTCCATATTGTTATTTCATATTTCTTTATCTTTTCCTTTGATGAATTCTGAAATTTTTTCATATATCTGTATCTACCTGTTCTTTATTCTTTGTGCTTTTTATTTTAATAATTTTCAAATATGAGTTTTTAATTTGTAGTCACTTGTTTTTGTTTTGTAATTTAGGTTTCACTTTATTTCTTTAATCATATTAAACCTTGATTTTACTTGATTTTTAATGATGTCAGTATTTTCACTTTTACAAAATCACTTTATTTTGAGTTGTTTCTTTTGGCTTCTAGTGTTGATATCTTGCCTCTTCATATTAGGAGCCCACAGTTCTTCATAATTTATGAGGGAGAATTCTTGGAGACTGGTTTTAAAGGAGCTCCTCTAGAGAGTGTTTCAGTTTGCTTCCTCTGCATCTCTGGGGTGCCATAAACCTGAAATCACTTTCAGCGATATACTCAGCCTGGGGATTTGGGGATTGCACTGGTAGCATGATGTCAGTTCCAAAACTGCATGAAAGGAAGCCTATGGTTATAAATTCAAGAGAACATACCCTTACACAGAACAGTAAAACCAAGACAGGAAAGTTAACGTAGAGTCTTCTCTTCTTTTTTTGTTCCTGTTTTGTTCTAGGTCATGGTTTCATTGAACAAGTGGTCCTTCACAGCTTTGATCTTCTCCATATTTTATAAAACTTCTGTAACTGCACCTCCTGCCTTGCATGATCAATTAAAATTATGTAACTGATTATTGTTCATCAAATTTTACTTTTGTTTGCATACTGGTATAAGTTTTGATAAATTATAAATCTATAGTATCTAATTTTTAACCTAAATATTAAATGGATAAAAAATTCCCAATCTCTTGTGTTTTAATAATGAAATTTTAGAATAAAACTGTTACTTTACTCTTTTAAATGTGTTAAATAAATCTTGAGTTAATACCCACTATTATCCATATAGAAGTATATTATAGTGTTATATTTCAACATTCATAAATATTATTACATTGTTTTCTATGCTAAGGTGGTCTTATGTGTAGCCCTACCCGTTGTACAAGGATTCTGCAGTCTGTGTTGTAGGTGAGCAATACATTTCATGTGGGGAAAGCTAACAAGGCCAAGGTCAGCTACAGAGAAGGTATGAACTCCTATATCCCCATTACCACCATTTGGGAGGGACATGCAGAATAGATTACATTCCGGTGGATGGACATTCTCTTCCATTTTTCTCTTCATAGGAAAAATGGAAGAACAACCTTATTAGTGAAGAATCATATGGATAACTTGTACCCTGCAAGTCATTTGAGTGACATCAACTTGTGAAAAATATCTGGAATACCACCTGCTTGTTACCTGGAAGTCTTGAGGCCATTTGGAAAATGTAGACATTTGTAAGGACTAGAAAGCACCATGGAAATTCATTTCCGATATGTCCTCTCTTTCTGAGCAGAGAAATAAAAAATTCCACTTAGGCCATTATCCAAGCAATCCTTTGGGAGTACCTTGAATCATTTTCAGTCAACCCTGTGCCTTCTTTCACTGACTCAGTTGCATGGTGTTTCCTAAACAGAAATTCATCCTATTACATTCTATTTTGTGGCTCTCTCTATCATACCTCTCTTCAAGTAAATTATATCGATAAATCAAAATTGATTTTTCAATTCTTACAAAGCTCTAAATGTTAATAAATTTCTTTGTATTAAATTACTATTTGATTATTAACAGTACACAATTGATTAAAACATAAAAAATAATTTTTTACTGGAAATGTACTAGTTAATGAGATGAATAAGTCTCTTAAAGTTAATTTATGTACTCACAGATGAATATGACTTATTGCCAGAATAAAGCAAGGTTCAGTGGAAATTAAGAGCAATTGGCAAGAGCAATGGGTCACCAATAAATTAAGGTCTTACAAAACATGACTTAACAATTGTTGTAAAGCACATTGTTTACAGTGGAATCTCAACATATTTCAGCTAGATTAACATTAGATAAGTAAGTACATGAATGCACAAATAAACAAGGAAACAATTAGTTGACTAGTGATTGTGAGTCAACTTGCAACCAAACAAAAAAACTCATAAGAAATTTTCAGTGTTCAATAATCTTTTGCTAAAATATAATGAAAATTCCTCTTGTAAGTCTCAATACATTTTTAAGCTAACTTATTTCTGAAATGTCTTTTGAATGCCAGATAATGAATGCCTTTGATGTCTCAGAAAACAATAAAGGCCTTCCAGTGCTTAGCACAGGCTGTGTTCTTTTGCTGCCAGTACAGAAAGAGGAGGCGCAGTAAACCCACCCTTATACAACTGAGCCCAAACCCTTTGCCTGCTCTGTATTCTGAATGGGGGCCATGGAAGGAAAAATGGAAATGCTTTTACCTCTTCTATTTGAAATCATAGAGCAAAGGAAGTAGCTGAGGCAGTTCTCTGATTACAGAGATTGGTCAGATGAGATTATTTTGAATTATCCTTTTTGGATATTTGTTTTGTTTTGTACTTTTTTGTTTTTTTCTCTCTTTTCTTAATGTTAACCTTTTTTTTTTGTTCCCTTTTTCAATTCCCTTTCCTTCTTTTTATTTTTTTAAACTCTTCAGAAGTTTTATTTACATACTAGAAAAATGTAATGCAGTCAAACTCAGGTGGGTTGAGATTTTGACTTTTTAATTTTTTTCTCCTTTTGGAAAAAACTAGAAATGGCAAAGCTGCTTGGAACTTGGACCACAGCAACATTCGCGAGCAGCTGAGTTTTAGAAAAACATACAGATGAAAGTTAATGTGGAAACTGATTTGCTTAAAGTTGTAGCACCAGCTCACATCCACCAGAAGCTTTAGTACAACCTGGAAGCATACAGTGCCCTTTGGAGACCTCTGCTCTCAGCCACCAGCATCACAGGGTCAAAAGGTTACAGTGAACTTAACTTCATTTAGGGCTCTGTGTTGGCACTTCGTTGTCATTTTCAGTCTTTAGAAATTCTCCCTTCCCTGCTATCTCAACATGTTCCTTCCCATTGAGGAAGTTAATAAACAAAAGTGAGTATATAATTTAAGTTTTTTTAACTGGAAGATTTCTTGTTTGTATTTTAAGGAAAAGGGAGAAGAGCTAATATGTCAATATAAATAAAATATAATGCAATTCTAAGGTAGTGAAAAAATAAGTTAAATATACAAAATAATTTTTACTCAGTTTTTAAAAAACTATTTACTTAGGTTTTACTTATATCCTTAAATTAATTGTTCATTCAGATGGTAAATGAAATTTGTAAGAAACACAACATGGTTACTTAATTACTCAATCAGTAGGTTATTGCTATATGCCCAACACTTTTTTAGTTGATAAAATAAAGGTTTTAAATGGAAGACTGATCGGTGTCAAATATCTATCAGTAATAGATAATAAGGATCTTCAGGCAAATAGCTTTTAAGGATACAAAAATTTATTTCTCAAGGTCCCCTGGGCATTGAATATTTTTTTGCTTTTTTCTTTCTAATGATGATATGAGCCTAATGTTTTCAATTATTCCCTCAAATTGAAGTTGGATAGTGTAAGATATTTTCTGGACTGTTGATGTAACATCTAAGTATAAAACCACAGTGACACATAAGAATTTGTTCTCAGCCCTGGCTGGTGTAGCTCAGTGGATTGAGTGCTGGTCTGCAAAATGAAGAATCGCGGTTCGATTCCCAGTCAGGGCACATACCTGGGTTACTATGCAAATATTCTTGTCTTGGGTAGCTGCCACTCTTCTAATAAGATTTTCTATTTTAGGTTAATCAAATGTGGTGCTAAAAGTTAAGGGATGTGAGCATTGCCTGGACTTATTAACCCATAACCACTTGACATGCTTCAGGTAGTATCAGAAATGTGATTAGGTTTTAAGGGATCGAAAAGCTGCAGGAAGGAACACTGAGCTCTTTGAGAGACCCAGTGACAGAGGTCTTTGTGACACTGAGTTTTTGAGGAAGTTTTTTTGGGAGAACTGGATATAGTGGGATTTGGGACCAACCGCCTTTTAACATATATGATTAGGGGATAATTAACTGAATTGCTTGGGTCTCCCTAAGCAGTAAAAGGTTGTGAAGGATTTCTGAAGAGAATTAAAATCCAAGGGTATGAGTCGCCCTTTAAATATAAGGCAGGAATAGAATCAATTTGCAGGTTCTAAATATGAGAGGGAATGAATATAGCTGAGAGAATTCTTCCTTCTTACTGAGCCAAGTGTCCCTGTGTGATTTCACATCAAGAAAAAGCCTAGTTCCAACATAAAGCATATTCTTTGTTGTTGTTGTTAATCTGTTTCACCTTATAATAACACTATTCTAAAATGTGTGTGCTAAATTTCCTCCCAACACAATTCTCTACCTGAGAATTTGCACTGTAGGGAGGTTGGGTCTGTTAAAATCAAACACAACAGAGACCAGACTTGAAAAGTCTCTGTGAAGACAAAATCTGTTTAGTTATACAAGCAAATCTTAATCTAAGTTTATTTTAGAAGATAAGTGAGTTTACTTGACTTGGATTACTTTTTCCTTTGAAAACCAGAAGTGAAACTAATTTTTCTTCTAAATTCATAAGTGATAACTAGTAACCAACCCCTCTCATAAAACAAAATTACAATATTATAACCAATCACTGTGAAGAATAAAGTCACAGCTTCAATCCCATACAAACTGCTTTATGATAATATGACTCTTAGCTTCATCCCATGTTTTGGTTTGAGTGCTCTTGGCTTGCAAACTATATTTTTGGCATGTATATGATAAACTTTTCCTAATTACTGCATTAGTGATTCGTTAATTTTACTATTCTTCTGAACTTTTTGACAGCTTAAAATGAGTGTTTGTTGGGATCAGAGTTTACTTATATAGGCCTATAAGACAGAATATATCTTTAAGATATACATATATGTATATATATATACACATACACACTAAAAAGGATGTATATAAATCCTTTTATAGAATAAAAGAATCCTTAGAAAAAGGATATATATATAAATATATAAATCTTTTATAGATATATATATAAATATAGTAAATCTTTTATAGATATATATAAATATATATTTATATATATATTTATATATATAAATATATATATTTATATATATATCTATAAAAGATTTACTTTTTTAAACCTAGGAAGTGACAGAAAGAGAGTGAGGCTAAAAAAAAAGCATCTTATGAAAGAAGTCTCTCACGTGAACCAGAAGAAGAACATGATTGGTTATCTTTGTGGATCAAACTTGGTTTTTGTTTGTGCTCAACACGTTTATGGAATGATTTTATTTTTAGTTGCTCCATCAGACCTCATGCTCATGTAAAAGTTTCACTCACTTTTTCTGTGACTTGGTGGTTTCTTTTTGGTTTTAAAAAAAATTGTGACGATTTACCCTGGACAGCAATGGCAGTAGTAAAACCACATTAAATCTGGTTCATCTTTTTTATTATAAAAAATTATTTTCTACCAGAAAGGAAAATGCCAGTGTATTTCCAACTTTGATGCACAAATGAATTTGGGTCACACTTCATATTTGCTTGTGTTTCGAAACGTGAAACACTGGTAATTGGGATCCGAAAGTGATCTCTGATGACGGTATGCTCTCAAATTGTTGCTGTTCATTAGGAAAATATTCTATGATTATTGAAAGGGATGTATCATAGAAAAGGTGTTAGAGAAGTTGTTACTACTGATCTCAACAAATGATTCCCAATTAGAAAGAATACAACTCAAGCACCTAAACCCAAGCACTGCTGTTTGCCATAGCAGCAGTTTAAACAGAGGTGCTGATGGCAAGCGGATCTCGTCGCCTTTGGGGGCTGTGACTGTGCCCCTTGAAGTGAATTGGGAGGTTCTACACTCCTGGTTAAAAAAAAAAAGGTAAAAAAGAAAAATAATAATAAAAAAAGAATACAACTGTGTTTTAAATAAGATGTCATTATTATTCCCATTTCATATAAACAAGAAATTGAGGCTGAGAGTGATGGGGTGTGCCTGAAATCACACAGCTATTTAACTGATGGAACCAGCCTCACTCAAGAGTTTTGTGTTCTTGCCCCGTCAGTGTGGCTCAGCTGGTTGGCCTGTCCTCCAGTAACTGAAGTGTTGAGGGTTTGATTCTGGGCCAGGGTACATACCTAGGTTGTGGGTTCGATTCCTTGTCCAGGTGGGTATAATTCCCCATCTGGCCAAGTACTGGAAGCAACCGATTTATGCTTCTCCCTAGCAGCAATGCTTCTCACTCTAAAAGTCTTGAAAAAATGTCCTTGGATGAAGATTAAAAAAAGAGTCTGTGTTCTTATCTAAGAAGCATTGCTACCTCATTTCCTCCTTATGACTCACCAAGATGCAAGGGAATAGACATTGTAGAAACAGTTTTATTGAGATGAAACACAGTATAAGAACCATATGATTTGGGTTGTTATAACGGAGTTGGCTACTGTAGTACGGAAAAAATATAATTTTTACAAAGCAAGAAAGCTGAAAGCAGATGTATTATTCAATAAATCTGGAACAATCCCTACATTTGATCTTTCTGGCATTTATTTTCATTCAAGAACTCAAATAACCCTTAAATGATGTAAGCCTCATGCTGTCAGAATAATTAAAGTTTCCAGTTGTAATAAAACTTTACATTAGGTGAATAATATCATAGAAAGTTGTATTTACTTATTTTTGAAATATACACAACTTGAGGTTTGAGGGTAATGGGATCTATTTATACTGTATCAGTCCCTGGTACCTCTTTGATTCTGCTAAAATGATATAACCTTACCTGATAAATCAAGAGAGCAAACTAATGTTTTAAAGATTGTGTGTTGGCAGGGAAATAGGACATGACATGTTTTCTTTTTTCCATTGTAATCCATCTGATGAGAATCAGAAGCCAATAGCCATTCCTGAAAAAATGGAGTGGGCTGATTAAAATGGCATTCTAAGAATAGTAATGTGGAAATAAATTGCAGACTGCATTGAATAATTAGATTAAGTCAGGGGAAAAAAATAAGACATTTGCTATCGCAGGACATGCACATTGATTATGACTAGGCAATGGGAATGAGAAAGATACAGCAAATAAAATGCAGTGCAATGAATCATGGATTAACATTGGTAAAGAAAAATGAGAAAGGAAATCATGAGAGTAAAATCCAAGATATTAAATGTTATAGAATTTACACAACAAAGGAGCTGAAAAAGGGAAAGAAGGAGCTAGTAAAAGGGACAGGGAAAATCATAATACAACTAGTTTTATATTTATTAATCAATTAGAGAAATATTTAATGAGTTCCTACTTCATTCCAGAAATACCCCTAGCAGTGACTGAAAGGATATAGAAACGAATTTCTTAACTTTATGGTGCTTATATTATTGTAGAAGGAATATATAATAGACAGATAATCATAAATAATATGATGAAAAGTGCAATGAAATCGGAGGAATAGTGATGAGAAAAAGACAGTTTATGTCTCAGAAACTAAACATTTCTTAAACTGTCTGATTTGAAGTAAGTTAGTTTAAAACTCTGGAAGAAATTGAAATTGGTTTAAAATAAAGAAAGATTGAAGGCAATCACATTGTGGTTTTTTAATGAATCAGCATGTAAAATAAGAGTTCTAACAACGGTACTGCTTCAGGCTATAAATGTTAAACTGGGCCACTAAGCCCAATATTATATCAGAGAACCTTGTATTCTCTCTTCTGCATGTTATGTAGTGCCCTTAATTACCTCCTTTTAGCTTGGTCCCTCAAAGACTTTTGGTTTGCCTTGAATACAGGTCTGTGTTTCTGACAACCTTCATTTTTTTAAACATCTCAGCTACCATGGAATGCCAAATTTAGGAATAAATCAGAATCCTGCTCTGTTGATGCCAGTAACATATTTGTAATCTTGTACAAATTATTTAAACACCTTGAATTTATGTCATCATTCATAAAACAAGGATCAGGGTCTAACAACAACTATTGAAAGAATCAAATGCAAACCTATGCAGAAACGTGTTTTGTAAACTGCAAAATTCAATGAAATTTAATAGATAATGATTTTTTAGTGCTTTACCTGAAGTGGCAGGTTAGTGCTTCTTGATACTAATGTAATGGCATAAGATTCCTTTACTGCATCCTCAGACTCATGTTTTCTTTGAAAATTTTTAGCTGTGCAGGTTTAAAAAAATACAATGATATACATAGAGTGCCATAATGTATATTAACAGCCCCTTTTACTATTTAAAAACTTCTATGACTTTTTACAAAAATTTTGGAGTTTTTATCCTCTCCTATCCAACTAGTTCTGCTTCATGGAAATCCATACTCTATTTTCAGCCCGTGGCCACTCTCATTGCATCTATGATTTTCTAATGCTGTTCAACTGTAAGTGGCTGACTTTGCAGTCTTATTATTTATGCCAGTTTTCAGTATCTCTTCTACATTTTTTCTACCAACAGCATATGGTTTTGCATGGTCTATTCAGTAAATACTCATAATTATTCTGCTGAGCTTTGGTGATGGTAAATGTGTGTGTTATTGGAGATAAACTGTGCAATCTGCAAGAAAAACAAAGATGAGTTTCTGCTTGGATATTTTTGTGCATTTTGAGGTGAAGGCAGTATGCTTTGCTCCATACTGAGGCAGAGCACTGCTTTGTGCATCCCGTGCTGTGCCTTTTCTTTGTTTTTGCTTCATGACTGATTAGCGTGCCTTCGACAAACATTTTGATGTATGGATGTAACTGCTCTCCATACAAGGTTATAAGATGAAAGCAATGCATGCAAAGGATTATTCCTTACATAAGCAAAACTGAGTCTGGATGCAAGTATTGCTAATATACAATCAAAGTATTTTAGTATACTTGAATTAAGTATGAACATTTGCTTTGTTTCTTTTATTCTGACACAATGAGCATGTAGTCAGACAAAAGCAGTAGTTGAAGTATCAGCAACCTATGAAGTGTTTTTGTTTGTTTATTTTTTACTTTTCCTGTGCTGACCGTTGCCCTTAAAAGTAATAGAGAAAAGCATAAAGCCTCTCTTTTCTAAGTTTTACGGTGAAATGAAATAGTTGTAAATAGTTCCCAGGAAACTAGAATTACTGCTGTCAAAGAAAACCAGATGCCCAATTACCAGTGTTTCATATCTCTGAACACAAGTAAATATGAAGTATGACCCGAATTCACTTGTTCATCAAAGTTGGAAATACACTGGGATTTTCTTTTCTGCAAGAAAATAATTTTTTATAAGAAAAGGGATGAACCAGATTTAATGTGGTTTTACTACTGCCATTGCTGTCCAGGGTAAGTCGTCACATTTTTCTTTTAAACTAAAAAGAAACCATCAAGTCACAGAAAGAGTGAGTGAACCTTTTATGTAAGCATGAGGTCTGACAGTAGGAACTTATCCACAAATTCTATGAACAAAGGAGGACATGAAGATCTTTACACTGAATCCGCAGGTTCCTAAGTAGCTAATTCAAAGCAAAAAGGAAAGAAAAGAAAGAGGTATGCTTCCTCTTCTGAAAAACATTCTTTGGATTCTAGCCTGGTCATTACAAAATCCTAGGAGTACTTTCAGGCACAATACAATAATGCCCAATCTTTACAACTTGCTTTAGCTTATAAAAATGACTGCAACCTCTCTCCATTCTGTTCCTGACACTTCCAGAAAGTAGCACAACTTTTACCTTATTTTAATACTCACCAGCCATCCAACTAAATGATGTCATTTAATCCCAGTTATAATGGACAGAATATTAGTGTTCTGAATGAGACAGGGAGAAAAATTCTGAACTATGTGACACTTTTATATAAAAGCCCACACAGTGTATATTGTTTTTAAAGGCTGATAAGACAACAAAAAATTTCCTCAGCAAGCCCTTTTACGTAGCCTTTTATTTCCCTGTGAAATCTCTCCCAAATGAAAGAAAATGGGGGTATCTCTGAGGTTGTATGAAGGCAATGCAGAAGAAAAAAACTGATGAGGAGGGGAAAATGCCTTACATTTACTGGGTTCTTGGCTAATAGCCTTTGCTCAAGATTCTGCTGGAGGCACTCAGGCTGTTTCTAGGCACACTTGGCTGATTTCTGATGGACTATTGGGGACCCGCTCAGCTAAAGTAAGATGGTTCAGGGTCACAGGGATGTGGGTGCCACTTCCTGCTTCTGCATTTTGTCTTTTGTTTTTGATTGACTTCAGAATAATCATTTCTCAGAGAGCTATTATCCGCTCTGACAAATGAAACTTGGTGAGCTCTACAGCATCCAAGGGATACACCATCAGTTCACTCATTAAGCAATGGTGGCCTCTCTTTTAAATTAGGAAATTTTGTTGCTTTCTAAAAGAACTACAGACAACATAATTTTCATCTGTTTGTCTTTATGTTTGTTTGCATACTTGCAGAACAAGAAAACCTCCTTCAACTCTAAGGTACAGTACACTCAGAGATACTTGCTTGGTTTTTTGGGGGGGACCCATTTATAGACAGTTTCTATGGTAGATGAAAAGCCAAATCATGAGTGTTCTGTTAAAAAAAAAAACTAAAATGATTGCAGTTTGTGTGAGCAAATATATCTCATTATATGTGGGGTAATATTTGTTTTCATTCAGTCTTCTGTAATTCATCACTGCCTGACTTTGTTTTTAAAACTGATTTATGTAATTTTGTTAAAAAAACAAAACAAATGAAGTGGACCTATTTTAAGTTGGCTTACACAAAAACAGATTTTGAGATAAATATTCAAATGAAAGTAAAATAATAAAAAGTGTTCTTAAGAAAAAATAATAGAAGATAGAGGAATTGGAAGTTGGAAAATAATTAAGGTCAAAAAGAGTTAATATTGAGGAAAGTCTGCAAATCTGCAGACTTGCCCACTA